AAAGAATCGAGTCTTGAATTTGAAAAGAAGAGCTCTGTTGTTCTAAAAAGAAAAGTATAGTCTCTGAAATGAAAAGAAGCCAAAAAGGCTCAAGTGTTCTAAAGAGAAAAGAAAAGAGGTAATCGCTGTAAAAGAAAAGAGCTGTGTGAATAGGTAAACACCAAGACTTGGAAATCAAAACAAAAGTGAGTCCCCTAGTGAAAAGAAAGCAATTGAGAGAGTGAGGATCTTGAGAGGGTGAGCAAGTGAGAAAAGCTTTGAGTGGAGTGTGGGGTGTGATGAGTCTTGCCCTTGTATGCATCGGTTGCTTTTTACCTTTAGCATTCTGCCAAAGTTTGGTCGTTCATTGAGTGATCCCATTGTTGCATTACACCCGCTTGAATATTGATGAGATCATTTTTGTCTCATGACCTTACCCTAGCCAAGCCAGCCTATTTGAACATTGCATCATTTGATTCACCGGTTACGAGCTTAATGAATGTGAAAGAGTTGAATGTGATAATGACTTGTGGAGATTCTGTGCTTTAATTGTAAAATATCTGAGTATAGCTTTGCATTGCATATTTGAGCATGAATCCAAGTTCTCTTTGTGATCACTTCTCTCTAAAAAGGAAATATGAGCTCCATCTGCATTACAACCTCTTTCTCTCATTTGTTCTCTTCGCTTGAGGACAAGCAAAGGACAAGTGTGGGGGAGTTGATATGTCTATATTTTACATCATTTAGAGTGCATTTTAGAGTCCTCATCATGTGTTTTCCCCATGTAAATTGAGTCTTTAGGCATAAAAATAGGATTTAGGGCTTGCATTAGGTCCCAAGGAGTTTTGCATGTTTTGAAGTCCTTATCAGGTGCTTTGGGAGTCATTTGGAGCCTAAGAAGAGGAGCAGAGAAGAAGACGGTGAAGAAAAAGGTCAAAAATGGTGAAAACCGCTTGGAGGAATTTCTCGGCCAAATCGCGTACCGGACAGACAGAAACCTCGGCCAAAATCCTTACCGATCGTTCAACCTCGACCACAAAGCTTACCGATCGCTCAGCACCGACCAAAGTCCGTACCGATCGACCAAAGTCAGCCTGGGTCGAAGATCAGGTGTAAATACCGCGGGTTGAGTTTTTGGCCGAGGCGAAGGAATTTTTACGACCAAAAAGCTTACCGCGGTACACAGCCCTCGGCCATTTTCCTTACCGCGGGAAGCTTTTCTCGACCAAAATTTGTCCTTGTCCGCGCGTTTCAAAGATCAGCAATCCGGGGAACCTTCCGGTCCGAACCAGTTGGCGGGGTCTTCAGCAAAGTTGGAGATAATCAAATAAAGATCCCAGAACAGTTGGAATCATCCAATTCGGACCAGTGGGGAGAAAGATACAGCTTCCGGAAGATGCACCAACATTACGCGCATCCGAGAACCGAACGGTGGAGTACAAAGATCACGGCGGACGGAACCTTTCCGGACCGAACCAGCTTGCCCGGTCTTCATCAAAGTTTGAGATCTTTGAAAGACCTTTTCAGAACAGTAGGGATCGCTCAATTCGGACGAGTGGTTTGAAAGATAAAGTCTCCGGAGTTCACATCGGTCCAAACAGCTTATTTTCCGGTGATTTCGATGCGGTTCAAAGATATGAAATCCAGGAAGGCTTCCACTACCCAAGCTCCGACGGTTTCTTCACCAAAGTTCGAGTTTATTGAGTCACCTTGACTATGGAACTGGTATCAGAGCATTTGGAGTCGTGGGTCGAAAATTACTGCTTCCGGAAGGCGACATGGTCGATACGGGCCCAAATATGTTGCGATACGCGCTAAGTGTTTCTTCAGGGCTCGGCATCATTACCTCGACATCGGCCAAGTCAAGGCTCATGTTTTGGTAGTATTCTGAACTAGGCCTCGTGCTGACGCCTCGGCACGTTGGAATCAAGGCATGCACACGTAAGAAATGAAGCTGGAAACGACTAAGTGTTGAACGTGCACCTCGGCGCAATGACCTCGGCGTGCATGCCGGCCCCTGTTCGCTCAAAACCCTCGACTACCAAGCGCCTCGGCATTTCATGCCGAGGTCCATTGTCACGAACCCAGAATCAAGAACAAAGCTGCCCAAGAACACACACGTGAAGATGGATCGAAGACTAGGGTTCATGCATGTTCTTGACGTGTTCTTCACGAGATCTTCATTTGGATCTGGACTCACGTGCACTCCTCGACATGAAGACCTCGGCTTCACTCTCCGACACACCGTGGCACTCACCCATCAACCCAAGAACGCGGTTCAGTACCCGGTTTGTTCCGGGCTGACCCGTGACACTTTACCTTTGCTATATATACATTTTGAGACTAAAAACCTAATCATCTGATCTCTTATCTGTTTTTAGCTTTAAGAACTTGCCTCTTTTGTGAAACTTGATCAGTCTAATCCGATATCTCGTTTTTGCATCAGAAATCTTGTTCTTTCTTTATTTTCTTTTGTCATCTATCATTAAACTCCTCATCATGACTAGCTACACGTCTTGCAAAAGACTTAATGAGCTCGTTATGATTAGTGAGTAGTCGTTTAAGCGGCTTTAGATGAGTAGATTAGGGTGCTTTCAAGGTAGATTAGTGGGTTTAGGTGTCTAGTCTTGCATGTTTCATTCCTTAACCGACAAGATCTCTAGGCTGGATCCAAGCACATCACTTGAGGTTCAGATCTGAGACATATCTCGCATCAAAAGTGTTTGTAGAAATGTCTGAACCACTCGGTTAAGGGTTTAAGAGTCTTTCATCGCGGGGGTGATAGTTTGTTCTCTTAAATGACATTTTTGAACTGATTCTTATTGCTGATTGATTCGATGCTTCTCAAAAGACATTTTTGGTATGAAGGAGAATCAGTTTAGATGCTTAATACTTTCATGAGAAGATTAACATGCCTTGAGTTCAAAGTTAAATGAAACCGCTTGATGTTTTGATTCATTAACCAACTAGTTGAACTTGGAAGCACCCGAGTCAAGTATCTCGTCTAAAGTCCCTTGCTTTATTACATATTATCATCATCTGAATCGTTTAGTTATTATTTGCATCCTGTCTCTGTTTAGATCTAATCATTTGCTTTACCTTTCATGCTTAGTCGTTTGTTACTTAGCTTAGTTCAAAACCTTCACCTTTTGTCTTGACTTAAATGAACAAACATCATAGTCTAGTGTCTCGTTGACTTGTCTGGATTGATACCTCTTTGTGCTACTTCGACAAAGGGGATTGATAGCCCTGAGACCTAAAAAAGTCCTATCTATCAGTTAGAAAGGGATGAAATCCTCCCCCAGAGATGGCTTCATCACTATCTATGAAACACAGTCCCTAATGTGAAGAAACAGAAAACGTTCACCGTTTTTTCACATCAGGAATCTGTGAAGAAAACCTGAACTAATCTGTACTGTTACCGCTAAAAATGGAGCCTGATCAGAAGTAATGTGTTGGCCGGCGGCGGTGTTGAGGTCGGCCTATAAGCATTGCCGAGTTATATAGTATGCCGCGTAATCTAAAGGGAAAGATAACTAGGAAATCTACATATGGTAGAGAACTAAACCTCAGAACTAACCTGACCGTGAAACTAAACCTCAGAACGGGTACAAACAAAAAATTAAATCCTAAGAAATTACCTTTACAGGTGAGCCATTCGGATTAACGGATTGGTCGGCAGTGTTGCCAGCTGTCCAACATCCGATGTTACATCCTAAGGACAAACTAAGAGTTCAAAGACCAAGTCGAAAATCAGGGCAAACGAAGGAAAAGGCAATTCTGTTTACCAGTGAAACATCAGGAATCGCCGACGTCGTGGGTTCATTTATTCCGGTGCCAGGTCCATGATCACTCATCGGTGGGGGGGCCACTTGTTCATCTCCTTTCCTGTGTACATCGATGATGGATGATTGGTGCCCGGACTGTGTATGAAATAAAATCATCCACTCGAGCATATTTACGATGTTTAGTAATTAAGAATGGATATTGATACCTCTTTTGGATCTGTAATAGATATCTCGACAGTTGTGTCCTCTTGGGGTCCGACTTTTGTTTGGTTGATATTGAAATGGTCATACCCACCGGAATCAGACATATGTTTGACCTCGGTGCACGTGAGTGTGGACCCATCGATTCCGTCATTGATTTGGTCTCTTGTTTGGTGGATATGGCCATTTCCGTCATCAACTCCTCTGCCAACCTGGTTCAGAGGTAGCGCCATCTAAAATAAAAAGTTCCCATAGCTTATTACCTGAAACGAGTTGCATTCTTGTATGGTTACTCAGATTTTCTATGAATAAAAATATTTGTAACCTCTAATGGATTTGCATCATTTGTTGTGTCCATAGGTGAGGACTCTTCTCTCTCCTCGGATGAGTGATAATGTACTTGTCGGTCAGGTCCACATAAATTTAGCTCGTTGGCACCAATCTGGTTGAGCGGGAGGTTCTGCATTACAAAAAAAAAGATTCAAAAATTTTAAGGTTGAACAGATTTTAATGCCGAGAACACTAAAGATAGATTGGGAAAATCTAACAAGTGAATCCACATCCGTCTATTCCAGTATGTCAGTTGAACCCTGAATATACAAAAATTAGTACTTGTTAGGGGTTACAACCATATTTATGAAATGTTAAAAAAAAGGATGAGGGCTGAGACGTACATAGTGGACAGGTGTATTTGGCCCTGCCTCGTGTTCGTGACTATTTTGGGAGTCAAAATCATGGTCCTCGTTCAACCTTATGGGTTCCTCTTCAGACGAGGCCATAGGTGAAACGGGTGGCTTTGTGGCACACATCCGACAGCGTTTTGCTGCCCGGCCTTTGGAAGTAATGGACCTCGGTGCAGAGCGAGTCCTTTTACTAGTACCATGCGATTCAGGTTGTGCGATATTGAGCTTAAACGCGATTAGAGCCACCTGGTTAGCGAGCCACCGAAGTTGGTCGGCAGGATCTTCAGGCATGGTGGACATAACTTTTTTACAAAAGCAGAAGATCCTTTGGGTTTAGAAGTGGAAACATCTAGGCTAGATAGGCACAAACGACTGGTTTGGTGGTAGCTTTCCCTTTCCTGCGATTAATTATATGTTTCTTGTGGCTGCCTTTTGTGTGAAAAGGCTCGTGCACGATAAGAGGGCAGGAGGCGTCCCCACCGAGCCAGTTCTGTTTGACGAAAACATGGTTCTGTTCGATGAGTTTAAGCATGTACTCAACCTTGCGATCACGAACCTCGTCATCCCACTCACCGGAACCGTCGTCAACACTTGGAGGTGGGTCAATCATTGGGTTAACAACAAGCTACAATAGAGAGGAATGTGAGATAGTATACATTGATGAGAAGATTACATATGTGGGGTGGAGGTTAAACTTACATTGCAATCGATTTCCGAATCAAGGACATCATTAAGCGTGACAGCAGCGTTGTTGGGGAACCCTTCTGTGGTTAGATCAATAATTCGAAGTGCATCGCAGGGATCTGGTAACTTACTGAGAAAGAGTGGGATAGCTCTGAAAGCAAGTAGCTGTAACACCAGGGGGAAACCATTCAATTTAATGGATTTTTGCTGAAGCTGTTTACAAAATAGCTGAACTGGTCCCTCTTCCTTATTTTTGCTGGACTTGATGACGTTGGGAGGCCTCATCGACCACAACGTTTTGATGAATGATTCTCTGCCCCATGGAAAGTTGAGGAAATTTTCAAGATTGTCGACCATCTTCACATAACGAGGTGTGGGAGAGTGAGTCTGATGGTTGGCAATAAGGACGCAATCAACAATCAAAAGAAGAGCTAGACGGATCCGTCGATCGTTGGGCATGTCCTTATCATCTCGAAGCCAAGTGGCGATGTCTGCGCATGTTGTTTTTACATCATCACCTATCCATCGCTTCCAGTAAATATCCGGTTCTTTGACGGATGCCTCTATCAATGGGGTTTCGTAACCCTCTTCGAATAGTGAACAGTTGAGACCGGTTATGCTCTGGAACTCGTTAAGAGAGAAATGTAACGGCTGACCAACAAAAACCGTCCACATCTCGTACTTGTGTTTGGTCACCAGTTGCCTGGCTATGAGAGCCTGAATGAGTTTGCAAGAGATTGGTGCTCTGTTGGCGGGTAACCTGAAAAGACCACCAAAACTCGAGTCTAATATCTGGTCGAATTCAGGAGTATCCCGTTGGAGGTTCCTTAAAACGGTGAGTGTATCTGGTTTCGAGTAGACGTTGAGACGACAAATGGGGTATCTGTCCGTGGCAAACAACCTTGCCAGAAGCCGGTGATCAGGGGAAGTATCGTCGTCTGCAAATGAAATCGCAAAAGCATCAGACAAGTAACAATTCAAATTAAACAGTACAAAACGGAAACTTACCAGACATGGAAAAAAAAAGGAACTTACCAGACATCGGACGAATAACAGTGTTGGTTAGAAAACACGGATTTTTAAGGAAAAAACAGGTAGAGATAAATCTAAGAACGCGAGGAAGGCTTAATTGGGAGTGAGGTTAGGGTTTTTTTACTTTTGTAGAAAAGTGAATCGCACCGTCTAGTAGTAAGAAGCAACACTGGGGATACGAAAAGTCTAAAAAACAAATAAAGACTAACTGGATGAACCTCGATTTGAACGGAGACGTTTAGTAGTGGGTATGGTTAATGGCAATGTTTCGCACATCGAAGTGGATATGTACATATTACACGGTGGACACGTTTAGTAGTGGGTTTGTTTGTGGACGCGCAAACTGACCCGAATTACATACTATATGTACATAAAATCGACTGTGGATGAATCGATACGTGTGAATCGAACCGTCTAGAAGTCCGAACCGAAACGGGGGATACGAAAAGTCTTCAAAAAATAATCACTCACCGTACGGTTGATGAATCTGGATTTGAACGAGATATAATATAATGACCTATGTGGATATATCCATACCAGTTCGTGCATGACTATGACATTCAGAAATCCGTTATCACCGTATAAATCCGTTATACTATGGACGCTCGTCTGTGGATAGGCGACTCATTAGGGGCAGTCACGTACGGTTTTTGTGGATATTGCCACTATCCGGTGGATGCTCGTTTGTGTATATTGTGGACAAACCGTTATAGGGTGATTGCTCGTCCGTGGATATCTGTCTCATAAACACCACGTACGCGATGTCTTTGTGGATATTGCCATTATACAGTGGTTGCTCGTCTGTGGATGCGAGTTACCTAAACCCAAGTGGCTTTGTACATACTATATGGCTATGTACGCGATGTCTTTGTGGATATTGCCATTATACGGTGGTTGCTCGTCTGTGGATGCGAGTCAAATAAACCCAAGTGGCTATGTACATACTATATGGACATCAAAATGGACTGTGGGGAATTGCCATTATCCGGTGGATGCTCGTTGTGGATATAAACGGTTTTTGCCAGTACAATATGCTCGTTTATAAACGTGTAAATACAAACGGTTTTTGTGGATATTGCCATTATCCGGTGGATGCTCGTTTGTGAATGTCAGAGTCATTAGGACCAGCCACGTATTGCCATTATCCTGTGGATTCTCGGTGTGGGTACGCGTATATTGTATCAAGCACGTATTTGGGAGACATTTGTGGATATATCCAAAAAATAATCCCTCACCGTACGGTTGATGAATCTGGATTTGAACAAGATACGATATAATGACCTCAGTAGATATATCCATATCAGTTCTAATGTCTCTGACATTCACAAATGGATGTTAGAGTCATTAGGACCAGTCACGTACGGATTTACACACAATAACCCATTTGTGAATGTCAGAGTCATTAGGACCAGCCACGTATTGCCATTATCCGATGGATTCTCGGTGTGGATACGCGCATATTGTATCAAGCACGTATTTGGGAGACATTTGTGGATATATTTATATCTGTTCGTGAACATGGCTGACACTCACAAATGGGTTATTGTGTGTAAATCCGTTATAACAAAGTGTGACGCGCGTCTGTGGATACAAGACTAATTACGCTCAGACATGTACGTTTTTTGTGGATATTACCATTATCCGGTGGATGCTCGTTTGTGCATATTGTGGATAAAACCGTTATACGGTGATTGCTCGTCTATGGATATCTGTCTCATAAAGACCAAGTACACGATGTCTTTGTGGATATTGTCGTTTTACGGTGGTTGGTCGTTTGTGGATGCGAGTCAAATAAACCCAAGTGGCTATGTACATTCTATATGTACATCAAAATGGACTGTGGGGAATTGCCATTATCCGGTGGATGCTCGTTTGTGGATATAAACGGTTTTTGCCGGTACAATATGCCCGTTTATAAACGTGTAAATACAAACGGGTTTTGTGGATATTGCCATTATCCGGTGGATGCTCGTTTGTGGATACGCGCACGTAACGTCTTTGTGAATATGGCCATCATACGGTGGATGATTTATTGTAGATACGTTGACCCCCCACAAACTGACGTTGTGGCTACTTCATCGGGCCAGACGATGATCTAGATTTGTTAATAATGAATAACCTAGTGTGGCTGTAACGATATAATGACTATCGTGGATATATCCATTATACGGTGGTTGCTCGTTTGTGGATGTGAGTAAAAAAAACCCAATTGGCTATGTACATACGATATGTACATGATGTTCGTGTCAACTGCGTGAGGGAACAAGTTTTACCCTTAACAAAACAAATGAAAGCCGCAAGTGCACAGCTAATCAGTTGTAGTATTTAGGGATCGAATCCATAGAGATTTGTGTGCCCGGTATTCTTCAACGGTTTTTAACTTTATGTCTAGACTAAATTGGTTTTAAAGGTTGGTTGTTTTTGCGAATTAAACTAAAACAAAAGAAAGCAAATAAATCTATCCTAAAAAGCAAGTAAAGAAATCAAATGAAAGGCAAATAGAACAAGTATAATATCGAATGAAAGATTAATAAGGCAAGTAAAATATCGAATGAAATACTAGTAAAGCAAGTAAATAACGAACTAAGGAAATTGAAATGCAGGTCTAAATAAGCAAATAAAAATCGATGGAATTGTAAACTATGGCTAAAAACGCTGAGCTTTTGGGAACTCTAAGGGATCATAATCGGTTTTGACACTAGAGTAGATAGATTGGGATTGACAGATATCGATACATAGGGGTTCTAGAGCTAGAGTACGGCGGTATGACTACGTCACTGTTGTGATCATAACCAACTGTTTCTCGCAACCCTGACCAGTAGGTTTCCACTCTGGCCCTGGAAGGGAGAGAGCGCAAGAGCTGCACAAGACTCGTCAGTACTCACGATATCGTCGCAGGCAGGTTTCCACTCCTACGGAAAAATCGCCTGTTTCATTCTAGTGCTGATACTTAATGAAAACTTTCGCAACACTAACTATTTAGATCAGATACTAGGTGATCAGTCCAGCATACATGCAATAAGAACAAGAACAAACAGAGAACAGGTCGAAATCCATGATCTATAAACCTAGATGTCTTAATAGATTATGAGAGCCCCTTTTGGGAACCCTAAGCCCAACTCGGGATCTACTCAGACATGGCTGAGGTCGACATCATCATCGGTTTTAATAAAAGTAATGAAAAACAGTAAAGAAAAGAGATAAAGAAAGCTTCTCTATTGAAGAACTCGGACTTGAACAATCTTCTACAAAAATCTCATAAAAACTGCTAAAGGAAAAGGGTTTCTGTAAAGTATGAATGGCTCTCTCTAAAAACGACCTAAATGACATGTATTTATAGTCTTCAATACTCCATGGTCTCTAGGGTTCCCGAATTGAGGCTGAGAATGACTTTGGGCTTTAGATATGTGGGCTTTAATTCGGACCTTGATGGCCACGGTCAGGAGTGTCGTGACCGCGGGGATTGGCTTGTTGGCCGCGGTCGGGAAGCTTCTGACCGCGGGAAATAGGTTGATCACCGCGGTCGCGTGACTTGCTGGCCGACTTCGAGTGGCTCCGGGGCTAATGGAATATCTTGAGATCCAACCATTGGAATGTCTCCAAACCAAGTGCATTTGAAAGCTGGTTGATTCTTCTATAAGTTGTCCAATTTTGAGGGTGATCAGACGGTGCATTTGAAAGCTGGTCTTCGTCTCTCCATGAGAGTTCTGACGGTCTGCATTTATCCAAAAGAGTCTTTTTGTTCCATTTTGTGCCTCTTTATCCCAAATTACCTGAAAAGTCTTTTAAAATCCGGAAACATAGAAATCCTTTTAAAACCATTGAAAATGGAGTAAAAACACCTGTAAAAGATATTAAAGTGATCGATAAAAATGGTCAAAATCCGGTGTTATCAACTCCCCCAGACTTAGTCTTTTGTTTGTCCTCAAACAAAACAAAGGCTAAATCTCGGTGAGAGGTTTGAAAACGCATGAACTAAACAAAATCTCAGAGACCAAACTTCTAGACCAATATCGATCAGTATTGCATCAATCGGGTATAGCCTAGAAAATTCTCACTAGCAATACAGGCATAACTAGTCCGATAATCCGTCATGCGGAAATCTATGCACTAAGATCTAACTTCCAGTCAACTAGCTCTTATCATTCATTAAAAATCTCGGTGGTTCTCATCAAAGAAAATCTAGGTAAGGCAATCTAGGCTAGGTGTCAAAAAGGATTATTTTGGGGGTAAGGCTTAAAGTGTTTAAGGGTTACCTAAAGATCTGGAGGATGCAGGATATTATGCAAAACCGCAAGAGAGAGTGAAGCTGTTGGTGTCCACAGTTTTCAGTCACTTTCTTCTTGATATAGATTCCTGGTCTTCTTCCTCAGTTTCTCTCCAAACTCCCCCCAACTTAGATTTTTGTAAATCTTTCAGAACCATAGCTCCTTAAACGAATATTGGTTGTTTATTGCTCCACAAATTTCGGCAATCTAAGACTCTTTAGGCTTTTTGTTTCCCTTTCTCTTTTCACGTTTTTTTTTTTTTTTTTTTAAAGAAAGGGAACACCTTTAGATATAGAGTCTTAGAGAGCACAAAATTACCAGTTAATATCTGTCTTGTAAAGCTTCATGATGTTTCTGATACTCTTCCTTCCCAATTCCATTCAGTCTCCTTTGTGAGTGACTGAAAACTGCGTCGCTCCTCTTCTCTCCGACGTTTTTGCACATATCTGCTGATATAAACTAAAGAGAGAATGCATGAGGATTGAAAACAAGGGTTTGGGGTTTAGGGTATGGTACCAGATAAAGATAAACTGGTCATCTAGGATGACAAAGAGTGGTAAAAGTGAGGGTAAAAGACATCCTAGATGTGTATGTCGATGCCTGCCTAAAATCAATGATGAGAAAATTAGATATCAATATTAAGTCTAAATAAAGTGAGCTAGTATATCCTGTCAGAAAGAATCTCCATGAATAGAAGTCCTCTGGTGGGAGTTCGTAGTGCAAGTACTCTAGCTACTGCCTA